AGAGAAAACACTCAAATATATTATGTATTATTCTATATTATAGTATTCAATGTATTATCTTTATATATGTTTATGTACTGTTTCAGTTATTCTTCTTGTGTGTTTTTTGATCTATCTATACTTGAGACTGTAATGCTTGTTTTGGATATTTTATTGTCTGGACCCCAGGAAGACTAGCTAATGGGGATCCTTTTAAATAAACAAATACACAAATAAATGGCATCCAAGACATCAGTGGTTCTCAAACTTCTTGAGCTACGACCCCCAAGACAAGATAAGTCTGTGTTCGTGATCCCCCAATTAGAGTTATTAATATGGCATAAGTAATAACTTTGTTGTTCATGCATTAATACATTGAAAATGAATGTGTTAATTCCACAGATTAATCTCTTTAATGTTTAACACATTCATTTTCTTTTGAATGAATGAATGAATGAATGAATGAATTGCATTTATTTTGAACAAATGAAAGGGGAAAAAATATTAAAACAAAAGAAAATATTTTTAAAAAGAGCAACAATATCGCATAATCAAATCATAATATTAACAAGTCCGAAAAAGGAGTGAGAAGAAGTATACACACAGCCCTAATACAGATTTATTTGATAAATGTAGGCTTTATTTTATTTACAATGATCTGGAGACCCCCTGAAATGATCTTGGGACCCTCAGTTTGAGAACCACTTCACTACATTATGATCATACATATGAGAACAAATCTGAGAAATCCTTTGTAATTATTCCTGACTTCCTCAGATTAGTCAACAAAACCACCCACCAGAGAAATACTTCACCTAAAACTATCTGTTCATCAGCAGCTACAAATCACCGACATATCAAACTAAATTTTTTTGTTATTTTAAGTGTGTGGACACGTCTTTGTTGAACAAGTACATGCAAAATGAAGATAAATCTAACAAGCTGATACACACCTATATTCAGTTCATCTTTATTAAAAATGACAAAGTACTGCTGGGCACAAACCAAAGCTTTATTATCATTATTATTATTATGTACACATATACACTCAGTCCTCACATAGTATAATACATATATTAACAGAAAAGGTGTAATGAGTAGCAGTTAGAGATGAAATCAGAAAACACTAAATGTAGCCGTTTATTATAAAAAGCTCTCCCTGCATTTTGGAGAGAACATTACTGCTAGATGATGTGAAGAGTCTGACACAGAATAAGCATACTGTCATATGTATACCCTTATTCATGCTTACACAGTATAATACAGATAACAAGAAAGAAAACAATATACAAAAATCACATACATAAGTGCATTCTCAGGTAAGAATATGTAGACAGATATTTACACATTTACAGAAACATTTATGCTCTGATTAATAACTTTAAATCCAAATGCAGCGGGAGGTGAAGTGAGCAGCTGCTCCTTAAAGATTCACTTCCGCATTTTAGGGAAAACAACATTTCCGCTGGTTGCAATTGGGATTAGAAGCTTTCTCTGCTGCATGCTGAGATATTTCTCAATGAGGACCTCCACCGGCACCTTGTCATTCACGTAACCCTGCCTGCAAAAACGCAAAAACACACCAGTCAAGGTAAATGCAAGTCAGACAGTTTGATTGATAAGGTTGTTCAAATGTTGTCCTCTCATAGATGAGTGCTGCGTATTAGGGGGATAATTCCAGAATTAGTTTCTCACACTGAACAAAGAGCTCAATCTTGCCATCTAGAGGTCAGGATGCTTCTAAACATGTTCTGTTTAATGGGTGATATCTAGAGTGGATCCTTCTGTGTTTGCTGCACTCGTGGTTTTAAAGGTTTCTAATGGGCTCTTTGTCTTGGTGAAGCTGCTCTAATCAATACTGCATATAAACAAAGGGTCAAATGACTTTTCTAAGAGAACTTATCAGACTGTGTGGTTCACTTCAGCTTTACCGAGCGTTGGTTTAATGGCTCACAGATTGATTGTTTCCGCTCTCACCGGCAGAGTGTTCAGCTGCAGCGGGCAACTGTTGGTCAAACAGCTCTAACAGGTCACTCTGTGCTGGCTGCCCTGCACAGTCAACAACTAGCTCGTAAATATAACATCAAATTAGGTAGCTACAGAAACAGAGCATTTCTCTGATGTGTTGACGGAAACCAAAGCAGAGCAACTTGCATTTGTCAGGTCAGAAATACCACTAAAATGACATGCTATTGTTGAGCCTTGGTGTAAAGGGTGTGTAAATAAATGACCCTTTATTTACATGTTTGCCATAAAAAACTCCATAAGGCAACATCAATGCAGCACTAATGGCTAATTCATCTTGTTCCAAGTGCCTAAAAAAATCCTTGAGTTTTGTGGATTGTGGAGTTTGTTTCTACAACACGTACTGTCACACTGAAACTACAGGACAGGATGTAGGACTGAAACATAACCATGTTGTGTCCGTGTATGTACGTCTTTTGTCTTCTTTTGACTTGCCTAAGAAAGTCTTTTACATTTAAAATATACTGTGACAAATTTACATCTTCTCATCTCTTGGTTGTTTTCTTTTCCCACATACATACAAATTACTTTCTTAAAAGAGGAGTTCATGACATTAAACACTTGTGATCACTAAAAGTCATTAATGCCGTCCTATAACCACATGCACAGCTACTCAAGCACACAAATACCTTTTCAGCAGAAGCACACAATCCTCCACCTCTATGGTTTTTCTCTTGGCATGGGCAGCAAACGTCTCCAAGTCCTCCACCATCCGGTCGAAGAATTTATCCATTCTGGTAAAATGGTAAAATTATCTTACATGCAGCATTCACCAAATTACCACACTTTGAAAGAAATGCTGTGACACAGGCTTGAAACTTGAGACAAAGTAGAAAATCACTGCATTTCAGCCTGGTGTTAAGTTACTCATTAGTTGGTCCTGAAACTGCGACACGTCATTCCTTTGGGGAAAACTAACCAAATCTAAATCTACACGTCCCATTTAAAAAAACAAGTGTCAAAAATTCAGGTGTTAAGCTGAATTCCAGGTGGTGTTTACACAGAGAAGCATGGAAACAAACTACAAATGTAAATAATAAAACATCTAAAGAATGTAGAGTTACTTTTGTTTTCAGTATTGGTAAAATGAGCACATGAAACATATATTGCATATGCTGATTCCAGGTTATTTGAATTGCTGCAGAATAAATAATCAAAGAAATTTGACTTTGTCTCATTTTGTGATGTCTGGCAAAATACAACTCTAGTCGTGGTTGTGCTGTTTCTACAGGAGGTTATTTCAATGAAAAAATGAGCCAACAGTGAGAGGAAAAGCAACACGAGTTTAAAAAAATTAAACGCTCAGAAACTGCTTTTGGCTCAAAGGGGTTCAGACTCCAGTTACTTACGTCTCATTTAGGACGGGGTAAACATCCGCAGAGACCTTTGTTTTGGCAAAGTGCTTGAAGACACCCATCAGGTAGCTCTTAGGAAGGCCTGCTGCTTTCTTAGCGGGACCCTTCTTCCTCTGTCTCACCTGCTTAGGTTTAGCCGGAGTCAAAGCTTCACTTGTACTCCTGCAAGTACAACAAGACATGAAGAGAGACTGTCGGTAACATGGAATTTGATATAAAATCTAAATATCACACAAGTTACTGACATATTTAAAACTTAACATCTAACATTTTGCACAACTGGTACAATGTTTTATCAGCCCAGTATGTCAATAAATTCTGTTAAATGTAAATAAATAGAAGTTTCAGCATGGTAGGAAGTACACCTTACCTGGCTTGGATGTTTTTAGAAACAGAAGGTGAGGACAGATGCTCAGGGTGTAAAAAGTTTCTCTTCTCTCGGACAAATGCTGGAGTCTTGCAGGGAAACTCTGAAGAAAACATTCGAAATTAAAACATATTTTATGACAAAATTATTCATTAATGAAGGAAGACATACTTAAAGAGAGACTAACCTTCTCCTTCTTCACCATCCTCTTCATCGTCCAACTCCTCTTCCTGTTCAGAAGCATCCTGAGCAGGAGATTGGTCAGCGAAGGCATCCCTCGGGTGCCCGCTGTCTTCAGTGTCCTGCGCCACCTCCGGAAGATGAAAGGAGTTCTCTTTATCGGCGTCAGCCTCGCTTTCTGGGCAAAAAGCATCTGTCTGTCCTTGAGTTGAGGATTCAGCCAAGTCAGGCTCCCCAACATGAGGCTCACTGCACTCATAGCCTCTCGTCTCCAGGCCGCTGTGTGCTTTGGACTTGGCATCAGACCATCCTACATACAACAGCACAGTATAAGTATTCAAAGAAGTAACTAATGAAAACTAAAAATCTGAACAATGCCATGAAATATTTGTATAAAAAGCACATTCTAGACAAGATAAATCTTTCCACTATGTAGCCCAGCTATGAGTTTACTCTTTACAATATGACATACAGCCAGTTAGAAAACACAATACGATCCATACTCATAAACAATTAGTCATTAATTCATTCACTAATCAAAAGAAAAGTAATTGCCAGCAATTCTAATAATGACTTGCTTTCTGAGTCTAAAGATGTGAGGATTCGTCTCAATACAGTAAATCAAATATCTTCCGGTTCTGTCTGTTGCCATCTGAAGATTTCAGCTTTAATTCTAACCAGCGATGAGTACTTTAAGCAGTTTTCACACATTTTAAATGCTAAACTAATAATAAGTTATCAAAACTAATTCAAAAAAGAAAAAATAAATCTTATTTTTAACCCTGTCGTAACAGTGATCGATACCATTTTTGATCATACCTGCCACAGTGTTGTTGGTCAAATCCTCCCCTGCCTTTCTAACAGGAATAATGAGTGCACCATCCGAGCGATAAGCCCTTCGACTGATGTGTTCGAAGTCGCCTTTCAGCTGTTCGGATGTCTGCTCTTCTTCCTCCTGTTTCCCATCACAGTCGTGTTTGTTCTGAGACTCAGCCTCATCTCTGACAGAATGGGACTCTACTTCAACATCCCCTTCAAACTGAGAAAGAGATTCACCTTCTTCAGTTTGAGATTCAGCTGCATCCTCCTCCTCCTCCTCCTCATCTTCTTCTTCTCCTTGTTTTTCGGTATCAGAGTCTGGTGCATCCTCATCTACCGCAGACTGAGAACCAGCTTCAACATCCTCTTCAGGTTGGGAATCAACTGCACTTTCTTCTTTGGTTTGAGATTCAGCTGCATCTTCTTCCTCCTCCTCATCGTCTTCTTCTCCTTCTTGTTTCTCGGTATCAGAGTCTGGTGCATCCTCATCAACCTCAGGCTGAGAACCAGCTTCATCTGCACTTTCTTCTTCAGTTTGAGATTCAGCTGCCGCTTCCTCCTCCTCCTCTTCTTTTTCTTCAGTCTGCGAGTCTGGTACCACCTCAGCCTCCTCAGAGTGAGAACTGGCTTCAACATGATCTTCAGGCTGGGAATCAGTCTGAGATTCAGCCACATCTCCTTCCTCAGATGAAACAGCAACATCTTGAGGTTGACCGTGAGTTGTTCTCCTCCTTTCCTCCTCTTGAGATTCAGCTCCATCAACATCTTCCTGTGACTCAGAAGCATGATTGTCACTTTGAAGTTCAACCACAGCCCCTTCCTCATATGGAAATACATAAATGGTCTTTCCCTCGTCGCTTTGCTCCACTTCCATCTGTTCTTCCTGCTCCATCTGTCTCTGAAGCTGAGAGGCCATCACTGTCGGTTTATCCTGAGTTGCAACGATGGAAAAGTCGGACGTCATGGCATCAGGCTGGTCGTAGAGAGCCGTGTTACAGTTCACGATATCAGTGGTGATATCGGGCTCACTGAGTTTGCTCAGACCCAAGGTGAAGCCTTCAGAGTGGGCAGTGTCACAAAGATCCCGCTGTACCAGTGCAGCGCTGCTTTCACCTGGGTGACAGGAAGGGAGATCATCAAGAAGTACAATTTTTTTTACAAAGCATTAGCAGTGACAATAATGAAAGGAGATGCAGATAACCCACAAATCTTTCTATACATGGAAATAAATTAAAATCGAAATTTACATTTAAAGAGACACTATACCAAGTCAGCAGAGATCAGTCTGACAAAGTTAAGGTAAAACAATCTGGGCCGTGTATCAACTATTTAGCCAAACAGTAAAAAGATCAATAGTTTGTGAGATTTTTTATTTTTTTTTAAATCAGTTTTTAAGTAACAACATCATATCATATTGCTTGTCTGTTTTTTACGTCCCAGTTGCAATATTTTTTTTAAAAATTATCTTTATATGTGGTTGCTAGAAGACATTCACAGAAAAGGAAACAATCAGTGCTTTCATTTACTTGTTAAAAATATAATTACACATGAAACAAAAATGTAAAATTTGACCGATTGTAAACAGTATTTGAATCACAATAATCACCTCCCATCTGCAGCTTATTCACAGCAGCGCCAAATTCTTCCTCTGTGATTTTTCGACGGTTTGAAACGCGTCTCTGCAGGCCCCTTTTCTCAGTCTGACCATAAACAAAGGGTGTTTTCAGACTCAAGGAAGAGGAACTGAAAAACAGATCAAACAAATACATAATAAGTTATTCATTTATTGGTTTTTGACAGAAAGATTTTTCAATGCCTGATTAGAATCAATATTTTACATGGAAAAAAATGGAATAAATATGAAAAAACCAACATGTCATTACAGGTTTTTATGCAATTTACCTTGACAAAGACAGTGATGAATGGTTGTCTATCGATTCTTCAGTTACCTCTCCAGTATCTGTAAACATAAGCATCCATCAGCTGGTCAATCACAGCAACTGTTCACTGACACAGCTCATACACTCATACACACCATCTTTCTAATAATATCCTTCTGAAGAATGACATGGAGAGCAATTTAAATGCATACTTTTGCATAAGCAAGTACAGTCGTGACTCGATAATCCGACACTAAATGTAAAACCTTCTTTTCTGTTGGATAGCAAGGCTGTCGGATTGTCAAGACGGAGGTTGAGATACAAGGAGGGCTTGATGCTTGAAGGGTCATTTGTTGTTAATTACTGTTCATAGGTGTTATTATAACTAGTAGGACTGGTATGAATAGCACTTTCTGGTCTCTGGATATTCAGGCCAAATTAATGATGCATATCCAAATATTCAGCGCGGTCAGACGGGCACTTCCACCTCGGGGGAGCGCTCCATCGGGGTGGAAGTGGCCGGAACACACAGGGAGTACTTGGCTGCTGATGCTCGTTTAGGATAACGGTCACACTTCTGTTTCCACCATCCATGTTTACTTCCATAAACACTGAGCACGCTCGCTGCGTGTGACGTCGTCATGTCCTCTTCTGCGCATGCATATGAAGTTCACACAGCAGATCACATACAAGTCGCATTTAATTGGAAATGTGAACGAACTCACAAAAAAATCGGATTTCACAAAAAAATCCGAATTGAGCATTAAGGCCTGCAGTCTGGACGTAGCAATCTGTCGGACTAAGTCAGATAATACACCGTTGTCCTTATGTGTGTCATAAAATGTCATGTTGGAGTCGGAATCCAAGGCTGTCGGTATGTTAAGGCTATTTTTCATGGGTTCCGTTCATTTTTCCTAAAAACCTGTCGGATAGCAAGGTTTTTGGATTGTTAAGGGTCGGATTATCGAGTCACGGCTGTATTTATAAAGATCTTACATCATTTTCAATCATTGTAGCCATTGCTGGTTGACTAAATCTTACCATCTCCATCTTTCAGTCGTTTTTCAAAAGCCGTTACATTAAGGCTCCTACGTTGCCTCTTCCGGCTCAGTCCTTTTGCGGTGCTCGGTATGTTGCCAATGGTTATATCAGGCAGATCCAACCCTGACAGCTCAATACTGAAAGTCAAGAAAATATAAGTTTGTTATCTTATATGATGTAATTTAAGCAGTTGTCCACAAACAGCCACAACACTTAAAAAGTTGATACGGTTGATTCCTCACATTAGTGCAGTTACTTTAAAATACTGATCCCAAAGGTCAGGACCATCCTGTTACACACAGCTCACCTGGAACGTGTCCTGTGAACGCTGGATGTGGCTGTAGGTGGCTCTGGCTCTTCAGACGCTCCCGTCTCATGAACGACAGGGGAATGCACAGGCTCTGGAAAATATGATAAAACATACGGTTAAAAAGGAAGAGGAAGAGGTTAAAGAGGCAACAGAAGGCAGGTTTATGCACACACCTGTCTGCAGGATGTTCATGAGTATGTGCCGTGGAGTGTCTGCATCATCAAACAGCATCGAGGCCGCAGGTGTGTTTATCTTTCTGAGCACAACTGAGGCTGTCCTCCTCCTGGTAGCAGGCAGCGATTTCCTGGTTATACTCTACAAAGAACATGAACAGGTCAGTTTTAAGAGACTCAAAAAGATACCCCAGATTAGCAAATACACTGCCCGTCTTCCTCACCTCACGCATTTTGTGTTTCAGGCTGCGTCTCAGGATGTCCTGAGGGGTCTGAGGACCAGCATTTTTCTTGGACAGTCTGTCGCTGCGTCGGGTCCCGCTGCCACTCGCTCCCTGGGAGACACTAAAGTCAAGATAATTAGTTTATTACTGGACACAAAGACATTTGGAGTTACTTGCAAAAATGTGGAATTTCATGGCATCTCGGGATAAAACTGCTCCATCTTCTGTGTCACCTTCAAGCAAACAACAAAGTCTACCGAGTCAGGTCGAGCCGGAGGAGGGACGTTAGCGATGTGTTAGGAGGCTTAAGTTCGTTATTTATTGCTCGAAACACCAATACAGTACCTGCTGGTGATAGGGGTCCTGGGTGACTCGATGCTGAGGATATTTTTCAGCAGAATCCGAGCAGACACGTCCTCCGTTGGATCCATTTCGACACCGAGCGAACACAGTCAGCTGCTGGTTAGCCGAAGTTAGCTAACAAACGTTGTTAACAGTCGAACAGTAACGTTAACCGTGACAGGCTGCGGCTTTCTGGAAATAATTTCCCCCCACAAAACGAAGCTGAACTAAGGACAGTGTCGTTTAGTACAGACTCATCTAGTTAAACCTCATTTACCCACGTCTGAGTGTCTGTTGTTGTCTGGTTCAACGGATTCATTTTCAGAGTCCCGCGTCATTTTTAAGTGAAACCTCGCGAGAAGATCGCTTTCTTCTTCTACGGTCATAAAACAGCAGTTTGCCTTCAATCAGAGCGTCACCGCCCCCAAGTGAAGGAAACAAGAACAAGACAAGTTCTGGTAGAATATAAAAACTTTAAAATGTAACTTGAGTTTGAGTTTTGTGAGAATGAATTAAATCTCTGCCTCTTTGCTTGTTGACACTATGAGGTTACCCCACCAATTATACACTGGACGTACAGAGATAATATCTGCAAAAAAGGGATGGTTCACCCTCTAAACAAGCTGTGAAGTATTATGTATTTGTTTTACAAGTTTTCTACTTATTTTCTGTTCTGTTTTTAGCACATATGTTGTTGGATGTCTCAGAACATGTGCACCCCTTTGGCCAACTCAGGTTGTTTTCAAAAGTGCTCTATAAAGAAACTAAATTTGATTTTAATTTTGCTTATGTAATAAAGTGAAATCTAAGTTTTATATTTTGGCAAATAAAAGGATTTTAATGCAATCACAGAAAAAAAGGAATATATTAGCCACAAGGTTAATAAGGTTAATAGGAGATTTTAATTTTTTCCTTCTACGTCTGGTGTTTTACAGTCAAAAGTGTATGTCAGAATATAACCAGAAGCAGTCAGTGGTGGCCACTTCCTCTGACTGAGGTGGTGTCACTGTCATGCAGAGGCAATAAAATCCCAACAACAGCTGCTCTACACAACAAATGCTTTTTTTTCTTTTTTTTTTAAGATAAACAACAAAACCTCAGTACATGATGGGAAACAAACGGCTGGCTCAGACTTTTGTCCGTTTTGCTTTTACCAACATTTCTTATTGTTTAAAAAAACCAAGTGTTTTTCCACTCTCTACTCACTGTTTCATGAAACGCTGCAACTGTTTCGTTTTCTAAGTGAATTATAAATACAGTGTTGGTGACATTTTAATGTGATCGTCATCAGTTTGAAAAGACAGAAGATTATTTAATTGCTGGAATATAGTTGTATTTCCAGTTTTCTCCTTTTTGTGTTCAGAGCTCAGGTCAGTTGTAGACGGTAATTATCATTTAGCAGTTTGTTTTCTTTGGCAGTAGTTCACCACTTTCAGAAAAGGAAAAAAGATCTTGGTTAATTCAGCAACGCATTTAAACCCATGGAAATGTAAAGTTTCTCAATGTGTCACAGCTACAGACAATTTAGAATCACCAATTAACCTCAACATGTTTTTGGACCTTGTGGGAGGAAGCTGGAGAACCCAGAGAGAACCCACGCTGCACGGGGAGAACAGGGAGACTCCACGCAGAAAGATCCCGGGTGTGAACTAGCGACCTTCTAGCTGCGAGGCAACAGTGCTAACCACAGCGCCACCTTGCAGCCCCAAATTAACCATAAATAATAAAAAAATAAACAATGGTCAAATACGCATCTAACGAGTGTTTTAGAGGCACCTTGGTGTAGAATATTAAACTATATACACAATAAAAGCCTAAAAATATGAAAATATGGTTCCATGCATCTCCAGTAATATACCACAAAAAAAAACATATATATATACACTTTGCAAAAAATAAAAAATAAACAAAGGCAAAAGACGCGTGTGATTTCAATAGTTTTAATAATTTACAACACAGCAAAAAGAAAAATAGATTCCTAAATAAAACAGGTGGTTGCCTGTTTTATTTAGAGTTGTGTTTAAGGTAATGATCCCTCTCCCCCACTTCACGCTGGAAATGCACAAATGTGATTCAATCTTCAGTCAACATCGTGAGTGTATTTGTATTTGGCAAAAAGAAAGTGCAACGGCTCCTCATACATATGGCAACGTCAGGGACACAGGTGCAAAGACACGCTGGCCTAGAAGTCTGGTCTGTCCTTCTTCAGCTTGCTGTAATCCATGTTAACGGTGAAAAGCTGTAAATACACACACACAGGAACAGATAAACACAATCAGTGTGACAATATGGACTTTGAGGTGAGATAACAGAGAAGATATGACTTCTGCTTTACTTTGGCACACAGAGAAATGAGAAAGCAGCTTTAGAACTTGGTCATCTGTGGAAAATGTGCAGCAGAATCATACTTTGTACTGCTGAGTGGGCTCCAGGTTGTTCCAGGGCTCAGGGTTGTTTTTGCGATCCCATCTGAAGACAAGAAAACAACATATCTCTGAGGTGACTGGTGTTCCTACCATAACATTAAATACCGTCACACATACACCGAGGTCCTAAAAAACAGAGCTGGACAAAAGGCCAACTGATGCTAAGGAAGAAAATGTTTGTCCATAACAAGAAGCTTATTTTCTACTATTTCAGACTGTCTCAGATCTCATCACAGATACTTACGAGACGTCGGGGTTTCTCAGAGCCAGCCTGCCCAAGTACATCATGCTCATAGTTGCCCCGCCACCGATGAAGATGAAGAGGGGGATCAGCTACGAGGAAAAGAACAGGAATTATATTAAGTCAAGATAATCGCAAGCTGCTGTGATAAAACACCGGCTGCATGTAGTTTGTCCCTTATCCAACAACTGCTTTGACTTTTGGTTGTATTCCACCCAAACCTGCTGACTGTAAGTGAAATTTCAGTCACAGCTTTCCGATCTGCCTTTCCTGATGACTTTCTGTCTGTTCTACAAAGTTTGTGATCATCCAATGAAGCACTTATCACATAAATGTTTTACAGATTCACACCTACAAAGGCGACACGCATAAAAAACTGAAGCCTGCAAATGTGTGAAGATGTTTCAGCTGAGACTCTGATGTCTGATGTTCCCGTTAATTCGACACCAGGA